TTCTTGATTGGATCATTTGTTCTTTGGGTGTTGAGTTTGATAAGTTCTTTATAGATTTTGGATACTAGCCCTTTATCTGATATGTCATTTATAGGTGTGTAAGTTCCCCTTAGCACATCCTACTCTAAACCTGAAAGAGAGGACTTTTTAAATGGTGCCATTTTAAATTAAGATCACAAGAAAGTGGCAGAGATTTTTTTTTTCTCCATGAGCTATAAATAGTATTAGACATGGATGCATGAATTCATCATGAACAACACGTCAAATTCCCCCTGAAATGTTCCATACTAGTAAAAAGAAGTTTGCCCTGTGAATATAGGCAAAATTCTGCTCCACTAAGTAAAGATTTGCAGTTACTTCCTCATCTAAAAGCAACACAGAGAGCAGTGGAAGGGGTTAGTAGATGATTAAAGCCGCAGAAGTGCCCAATTAACTTCAAAGAGTGTATCGAACTATTAATAGACAATGTATTTTAAATTACAATGGGGAAGAGGAAATCAATGCAGGTGGAGTAGTAAAGGGGCATCAGAGGAAGATGAATTGGATGACTGGAGATGAACTTGAGTGCAAGGCAGATAATGAATACATCAAAGTTTCCAAAGTGATGCCACACATGTATTAGCAGAGCTCAGGTCGTTACACACCTCTGCCACACTGATGACCTTGAAAGGCCCTCGTGAGAACGGTGTCTGGGTCTTGCAGCCCGAGGCACAGAGGAATGGCAGTCCTGGACACAACTGTTTGAGCCCCTTCTCTGCTCTCATGGATTGTCCACATGCTAAGCAGAGCATTGTTTTTTTCTTTCCAGTGGGTGAGAAATAATAGTATCCCTAAAAAAAAGGAACAAAGATGGTTTTATGTAGGCACATCTAAATGATGATAGCATTTTTGTAGAGTACTTTACAATACAAATAGAGCACTTTTATAATCCCCAAATGCTAAATTTGAAATCTCAACCTGAATGCATCATTTTGCTCCCTAATAATTATATTTTAAAAAAATCATATTTCCAAATTCTGTGGACTGAAAAAGGATAAAGGCAATGACAATTCAACATCAATGAGTATAACTTATGTCAAGGATTGGGGTTTCCTGGAGGAATGGCCAGTTCCAGATTTGGGGCAAGATATATATAAGGTGAGCAAGTGATGTCTTGTGGGGCCTGGAAAGAAAAGAAGCCATCCAAGAGTCAAAGAATCATTTTTAAAAGACACAAGAACCAACAACATGAAGGAGCCTCCACTGGCCCAAAGTGGGACAATTTGAGAACAACAAAAAGAAAAATAACCAAAACACTTTAGATAGGCTTAAAAATATAAAATCTCATGAGCTCATAATGACGCTAAAAACACTTGTAAGTAAACTGGCACCAACTTATAACTTGGAAAACTGGCCATTAGAAAGTGTGGCCGATTATTTGCAGAGATGGCCACAAGAAAACCGCCCCATCCTGGTTTGCATGTCCTTCTGAAATGTGACTTCACTGCTCCTCCAAACAAGAAATCTTTCTCCTTTTGTCCTTTCCTTGAATCTGAGCAAGATCATGTGACTTGCTTTGGCCAATGCAGCCTTAGTAAACGTGATGCAAGCAGATGTGTAAGACATGCTTGCACGTTGGAGGTTGTCCTTTTGGCTGCAATGGGAACCCTGACACCACAATGTGAACAAACTTGAGCTAGCCTATTTAAGAAGCCTTGAGGAGAACCAAGGCCCCCAGCTAAGGGCTGGCAATCTCCAAACATGTAAGGGAGATCATCTTTACCATCCAGTGCCCACAGAACCACCAAACTACGGACATACCACCAGATGACCACACATGAGTGTCACATTACTGACCCTGGGCAAGAACAGCAAGGCCACTCAGATTTTTGGCCCACAGAGTAAAAAAAATGGTTCTTGGTTTAAGCCACTAAGTTTTCAGGTGGTTTATTATACCACAATAGATAAGCGGGTGGATAGAAAGAATTAACATTTATCCTACCATCCCTTACAAACCACATTTTTCGGTAGTCAAATACCTAGTCGAAGAGGATGAACCTCGTTGAAGTTCTTCCTTACATTAAAAGTTCAGCTAATAAATGTTGGGGGAAATGATAGAATTAGACAAAATTGACCCTTTTGAAACTCCTAATGAAATAATTGATTTAGGCAAAGATCACCAAAGAGTGAAACTAGATGAAAAGGTCATTGGGAGATTTGTTCAGTGTGAGCTTAGGTTCTAATCATGCCCACTGATACCCATTATCACTAAAAATGGAAAATCCAGACATTGTATTCCTGCATAAATGATCAATATGAAATATACCATAAACCCATGAAGATTCTTGTCAAAAAATGTTGATCACAAATCTAATCACAACTCTAGTGTTAAATTCCTTTTATAGGAATTATGGGGGCTAGAGAAACAAATTTAAAAATGCCATAGGAAATAAACAGACAAATCCAAATAAGAGGCATTCTATAGGACAATTTCTAGAGTCTACAACCAAATGTCATATAAGGATCTTGCTTGAATCCTGATTCGCATCAACTAACCATAAGAAGAAATTTTTAGAAGAACCTAGAAAATTTGATAAAGAACAGGGTACTTGATTGATGGCCAAAGGATTATTGTTAATTTTGCTAGGTGTCATAATGGTATAAAGATTATGTAAGAAAATGTTCAAATTTTTTAGAGGTGTACACTTAACTTTAAGGTGGAATGGTATCATGCCTGGGGTTTGTAAAGATTGCAAAACCTTGATAACAGTTGAATTTGGATGGAAATATATTAGGATTCATTACACTAATCTATTTTTCATTATACTATTTCTATTTTTAATATAGAATATAGTATACTATTCTATGCTATATTATTCTATTCTATGTGTGAAAATTTCCATAATAAAATTTTTTTTATTTTTTTTATTCTTATGTTA